GCAAACGCTTTCAGGGAGCTGTATCTTGTCCATGCGCCTATTTAAGTTAAGCTCACAATACCGAATGATGAAATAACATCCTCCGCACTTTATAGCGAGCCTTCTCCCTCTACCTGAATCTCGGGTGCAGAATGTGTTCGTCGCGTCAATTTTTAGAGATAAGATTAGAAAACTGGAGTTTCGAAAATCTTGTTTACTGGATATTAAGGTGGCTCCTGCGTAAACCGACCAAAAATAGAAAAAATTGAAATTTAAGTATGTTGTAGTTGTAAATTTTATCTGCGCGAAATTTCAGACCCGGTCGCCGATAAAATAAAATAAAGAAAAATGTTAAAGTTGTATTTTTTAACATTCCAGTAAACGCTAAATAACAGTTAGATAACATCAATATTATAATTTCCTACTCGACAAGATAAATGTAATATAACACCCATGTTGTATTACGTTTACATTGTTAAATAGGAAATTATAATATTGATATTATGCAACTATTACTTGGTGTTCACTGGGATAGGAGTTACGGGCCGATCGCTCGCGGAAGCACTTTGAGGGTTAATATTATTTTATAGAAAAAGTAGATCTTAACAAAAAACGAGATGAACATAATAAATGTCACAGGGATTCAAATGTGCTATTAAGTATGTGAGATCACCGACCTCTGCGAGCAAATACTTATTAGTAAAGTTAAAAGATACAATGTTTCGAGGAAATTTGACAGCTCTTTGAGACTTGACAATATCACATATTTTCAATATGTTTTTAAATGTGCATATATAACCTAGCATATATCAATGCATTTGATCAATAATGCATTAAGTGATATTTTTTTTAAAAATCATATGAATTTATAAAAATTAACGGAACCCCACCAAAGCACCCATACTAACCACTCCTTATTGCAGGAGCCACCTTACGAAGTTTTCGTGAACAAATTTCTTAACCAGAAACGCTTAACTTCATGCAATTATTGTCATAATTGAAAATATTCACCTAGTGACGACGAAAGTTTGTTACAGTGAAGATGTACGTCTTATATACCGTGTGACAATTTGGGTGAGTTGCAGACGTGTTGTTGCCCGTTAAGTTGCCAATAAATAGCGGATGATAGGTAATAATCGGAATCATGATTACGATAAGGTATCGCGTAAAGTTATGCGACGATCAAATTGCATATCTTGGCGTGCATGTGCGCGCTAATGTTAATTTCGTCGGCAAAAGATTATTTCCTCGCGCGGCACACCGCACATAGCGGTATGAGCGGAGCGAAATTTAATTTCGCGAACCGTTATGCGCGCTAATTTCGACAGTGAATTAAGACTTCTTGCAAATGAGTATTTAGTACGTGCTTAATCCCTGTGATCGGCGCTCGTATTATGAGCGAGCGGTGCGAATTAATCGTCGATCTCGCCAGAAAAGAGAAGTAAGCAAATGAATTTTTTGAGGAAGAACGAGGGGGCCTGAGAAGCATTAAGTACCTCGTAATTTATTAAACCAGTTAACAACGCCCGAAAGATGAAATTGCGTTAAATTTTCTTTAACGTACGACTGATTATATAATATAGACATCTAAATAGATACCTAAATACAAATAAATTATAGATATTTTAATTACTATAAGCCAGTATAAACAATCAATTGTATTGTTGTACTCTTTAAAAGTCAGTCAGTAGATTATTACTGAAAACAGTTAATAGTCACTGATTGATTTTTAGAGAATGCGTGACATAACAGAATTATATTATTCAAATGCTACATGATAAGCGACATAATAGACGCTCATATGTGTGTCGCAGGTGTTTATCTTATATCTAACGATGTTGATGATGTTTAGGGAAGAAAAATATGGAGAAACACTGCATATTTATGAGTAAATTCAATTTTGTGTGCTCCGTGTATGTTTTAAATTAGAAATTTAAATTCGAGGTCGGAAGAGTGAATTAACGTGCTGCGTTTTCGGCAACCTGTCAATTTGCGTAATTATCACTCGCCCGTATATTTGCTGCAATGAAATGCTTGTTGTCCCTTAATATCCGCCGATAAATAACAGACTATGAGTAATTACCGAAATAATAATAAGGACCTCGCGTTGAAACATTACATGCGATCGAATTGCATACTTGACGGTGTCGGAACACTTTGTTGCTAACGATTTTATTCAAACTGTTGGACGCACAAAAAGCTCAAAAACATGATTTCATCACATCACTCAAGAAGCAGAGTGATATACCATGTCGAGAATTTATTGGGGAAATACTATTGAGTTAATGCGACTGCTACAAATTGTTGCAAAATTAGACATCTTAATGATCATTAAACGACTCCCCAAGCTTTAACACTAGCGTTGTAGTTTTATTTTCCTTTATATTTTTCTTTTAACACAATGTGTTATATGATTCTTCCGTTTGTTAATTAAAGACGACGAACACAGTAAAAGTACGTCAATTCGCGGTGACCTGAGAATAAGGAAGAAGAACTGTGTAACGAAGTTTTCATTTAACCGCGGGGGACCCAATTACTGACCGCTATACATATATACGACAGTCGTAACACTTTACATAGTCGAAGTATCCGTCCCAAGGAATAGAGACTCAAGATAAATAGTCTAGAATTGCTCTCTCTCTCTCTCTCTCTCTCTCTCTCTCTCTCTCTCTCTCTCTCTCACTCACCGAAAACGATGAATAGTCACTGATTTACAGTTATAAGCATACCACTGCGATTTTCAGTGCTATATGTATAACTGCAAATCAGTGACTATTCACTGTTTTCAGTGATAATCCACTGATTGACTTTTAGAGAGTAGATCAGATATTAAATGATGTTCAATCGCGATTTGTTAGATATCATATAACGTTCGTAAATATGGATTGTTCCTCCCCTAAAAACGTAGACTGAGATAATCGGAAGTTCGCCCTCCGACGCTTTAATTTCACACATCGCGCGCTCGGCCACGTTGCATTTGCAAACTGATTCGGCAACTGACAATTTTGCTGCGGTCGCTCGAAAGGAACGAAATTGGTGATTTATTAAGCCATAGAAAACAAGGCGAAAGAGGAAGATGTAGAGAGGCGAAGGACGAAAGGGAAACAGGAGACCGGTTCACATCCGCGCGTAAGTCGCAGCGAAAGCGCGACATGACGACGATGACTTCGCGATAACGCCGGGATTCTTAAATGACGTTCGCGACAAGCTTCCTGACCCATTGCGTTCGCTGATTGACGATTAGGATGACACGTATATGTAATCGTGTCTGTAAACGTGAACGGAAAGAGTTATCCGGGGATCTCGTCCGATTGCAAAATTTAACTGTAATCCTCAGCTCGGCATACGAATCTCTGATTTATTATATATGTGCGTATACACACACGTTCGTCGCAGTTTTTAGTGGAAGAAGCAAAGGACGCGATCGCGCTCATCGTCGTTTTAGTAAAATGCGTAAAACGCGATGTCGCTCGTCCGCAAACAGTTAATTAAATATTAATGTTCCAAATAATTCCTCTCTGTCTTACAGTGCGATAAGCTTGAAAAATCAACAAAATTTTCTTAAATCTTTTTAAAGCGTATACGCATATGTTTTTGTTCTATTAGACTGATAATTGTATTGATCTCCAAAAGAGATACAAGAATTTTCATTTATAATACAAATTTGCAAATTATTAAAAATGATAATCCCATATGTGTAGTTGTTTTCTCCTTGAGCAGAAATAAAACATCCGGAAAATACCAAACTTCAAGGGACCTTACCCGAACTAAAATTAATTGGTGTCCGAGTCGGTCCGGCCAAACAACAAATATAGGTCGCCAGGACCAGCCAGTGCCTGACAATAAACCGGATTGGACCGGGTATTTGCCTTGATATACAAGGCTTCAGAAATTCCTTGAGACTTTACCAGGGCATTAACTCTTTCACTACTAAATGAAAAGCGGCTTGCTGCAAGCGTTAATCCTTCATCAAGTTATAGAGAACAGCTGCAACTCTCGTTTACGTGTCAGTGGCGTTTAGTTGGCTTGAGAAAGATATACAGAGAACGATTTTTACAATCTATATTATACAGGATGTCCCATTTTAATCGATCACCCCTCGTAACTTTGCAGGGAGCGGTCTTATTGTTAGAGAAAAATGTTTCAGGCAAAAGTTGTATGGTTTCAAGGAGGGACATAAGACAGTGTCATTAATTTGTCCATGAATTGAAACCAAAAATTAAACAGTATAATAAACAATAGGGGGTTTCATTTAAAATATTGAAGGTGATCTTCACGTGATCTTCAAGCAACTATTCAAGGTCCCCCTTGAAGCCATACAACTTTAGTCACAAACTTTTGCCTGAAACATTTTTCTCCCTGCAAAGTTACGAGGGGTGATCGATTAAAATGGGACACCCTGTGTTAATAATATTCAGGAAGATATGAGAAACATGTATGCCTTCGTTGTGAAGAATATTAAACTATTTTATTATTAACCGACATAACGAATTCAGTCGGAAAAAAAACAGCCTAGGATTTAACGTTAAGAAAGTGACTCTAAACGTTTCGATCATCTGTATTTTGAATCTCTCTCGATGTTGGTTTTAACTCTGACGATTTATGTAAGTCACAGATTAAACCATAAACCTTTATTTAACTGAAATTACTTTAAAGATTCCTTTTTTTTCATTAATAGTCGCGGTTGCGAATACGTCAAGGATAATTTTAAGTCGTTGACATCTATCAAAATTAGCAATAATGGAATTTACGCTTTACAACGGGACACATCGTCTTTATTAATGTTAAAAACTGCGTACTTATGTTAACTCTCTTAACGTAATTAGACATGCTGAAGAAGGCACTGTGTTGCCAAAACGCGTACATGTAAACTTTATATATTTCTAAAATTAAATTTTGTATTTATCATCGAACGTCCAAAATTGGCTCGTTTAATGCTGACTGGCCGTCAGATTCAAATTTGATTATTAAACTTTTTCTTCGTCAATCAATTCGGTAAATAAATATTATACATATAGAATATATTGTAATTGTATTTTTACTAATATTAGCTTGCATTTTTTAGATGGCGTCAGCGGCAGCGGAATTAGTGGCGGAGAGAGAGCCGGAGCTGAGGCTCGAGATGACAGACTCCAATAGGACCTTCGTAGGTGCCCAGGGCCTAGTCAAGATGGCCCTGGATCAGTACACGGAAATCCTTACGGCAGCTTCCGATCCACGAGTCAGTGACTGGCCGCTAATGGATTCACCTGTACCGACAATCCTCATTGTGCTCCTTTATCTGTACGGCGTTCTCATATTCGGTCCGCGTATGATGGCCAACAGAAAGCCATATAAACTCAGAGGAGTCTTGGTGGCATACAACGCGTTTCAAGTCGTCTTCTCGCTGGAGATGCTGTATGAGGTAAACGACAAAGTTTCGAGAAAGTAAGACGGACTTTCGATTCAATATCAAGTTTCATTTTGTTGCGGAAGAATGAAAAGACTTTTCCACAAAATATTTTACCAATACAAGCCGACGTAATGTATCCGATTAAATGACGTAAAACAATTATCTAGTTTGCTCTGAAATCGTTACGGTATAAAGCGAAATATCAAGTTGAAGGAGATACAACCGTCAGATAAATAAGTATGGAATGATAATCGTGTGAATCAGTAATTGCCCCGACGAAGAAGCGCACGAGCTAGAAATCCTGTAATTTGCGGAATCATGCAATCCCTGGGCGGGGAAACGGGCTCGTGTAGAATGCAATAGCAATAAGGAATAGAGAGAGACAATAAGAGCGCGTGCGTGTGAAAGAGAGGAAGAGAAAGAGAGAGTCTCGATACGACCTTCCATGTCACCCTTGACTTTCGCGTTTCCTCACAGCCATCATTAAGTTCTCGTTATAGCGTACATGACGTACAAAGTTCACGAGCGCCGACGATCTGCCGGGATCTAAGGACTCGGCCGGCGGTTAGAAGCCGGTCAGACAACTTACTCGTTATATAGGTCACGATGTAAGTATGCCGCCGGTACAGTACATGATAGAGATCGAAAATGATCGGATAGCTAATCACGAGGGGGATTACGAGCTACCAAAGCGGACAGCCACGAGTAGTCCTCGTTTGCGAGATCGATACGCTAACAAGTGTGACGGTGAAAGGAGACGAATAGAGTCGCGTAATTGTTGACAAAGATCGAGGAAGAGACTTCGACCTAGAACTTTGTCAATTATATCGCGCGAAATGAACGCGTTTAGTTTATCAAGCTGATACCAGATAGATATAATTCCCATAGGTGTGTCTCAATTAAGCTTCGCCGAATATTATCGAGTTTTTACGTGTAGTAATAGATAATTGAGCGAATTAAATTATAATATTGTGTATCCTGTTGCTTATGCAAATCGCGTGCTCGCTGACAAGCAAACACACATCGACATAATTATAGGGAAACCCTTAATCATGGCTTAATGAATGGATCGAAATGAACGTAAGTAACATGATCAAGCGTAATTTTAAATTTTACTCTCGTTTTCAATTAATCCCTACTATCGCAACTGAATTGCAGGAAACAAGATGAAAGAGTTTAAAATTTGCCTCGACTATCAACTTTCATATTTTAATGCGCATTTGTGTGGAACAAATTGCGTGGAGATTTATATATTTTGATTATAATAATTAGTTTCAATCACTTCGTATTAAATTTAATTAATTTTTCTATCTTAATTAATAATAACCAGATCGATTCACCTCTTAACTGTTTATTATAATTAATTAGTAATTCAGACTCACCGTGAATCGTAAATTCTAAATTGACAGTTACGGATGAAGATAGGCGGTAAAATTTAATTATGCACATATCTGTTCATCGACAAACTACTAGTGTCTCTATAAAAATGGGATTATCATTAGAGTCAGCTCTGTAATGTTACAAAGTCATTATTACAAAAAAGTGTAGGAACTACGCACAAAGAAATACTTAAGAATGGAGAAACAGATTATTTATATAAGTACTTATTATTCTCGTTTAACTTTAAATAGAATCATTTTTCAAAAGGTATAATCAACTCACAATTAGATGCGAGATACGACGCCTGCGTTTGTTTTTTCGTTACGTAAATTATAGTTTTTCAGTATAGTTTATGCTCCCGGTGGGAGAAAACGAACGCAAGCATTATCGATATACACCCAACTCGTTTTTTACGGTTTTTTTTGCCCAGTTCTATGCAATTTTCTTAAGCGAAATTTTTTTAACTTCCGTAAACTTTTGCAATATCTCGTGTATATGTTCAGACTTGAATTGTAATTCCTAATAATAAATTAATGAAGTTTTTCAATCGACACATGTCCTTTCCATATTATCACGTTAAAAAAGCGAGTAATCCTAAACAGATTATATACTTCACTCATCGTTGTAACTCGGTATTTTGATTCATTTCAGCACCTCGATTGTTATTGTCAATCATGATTTCACTATCAATCAATTCGTCATTCTTTATTTCTTCTTTCGTCAGTCTGCATTTGAACCCAATCGTATAAACAGCTTTTCCCATGGTTTTTTTTTCAAGTAACGCAATTTCTTTTACGTGAAACGTATCTAGCAGGTAAAAAGAAAGTTAGGTGTAAGTCCGATAATATTCAATCAATTAGATTGTATTTAGAAGAAAAAATATAAAGTATAAAAATTAGAAATAAAATTGTAATGCCAATTATAGTATTTTCAGCAGTAAATATTCTCTTAACTCCGTTTCGTAAACTTTTTTTTCAATCCCGAACAGAGATTTCTGTACATTGCCGTTTCATAAACGTTTCTCTTTTTCTTTATGACTTTAAATCAAAATTTCACTCTATCTAAAATAACGATATTAGATTAAATGGTATTAGATGTCGCGCGTCGTGACGGTTTCGATTTTCTTAATTAACTTGCAAATAAAAAACTTACAATACAATTAAAGATTCTCCACTTTCCTGCTGATAGCTTTAACCTACTGAATATTAACATGTTCTTTGTTTTAAACAAGGCGAACTGCGTCTTCTCCGCAATTGAAATACTGAGGTCTAATTAAAATATTAAGGTCGAGTTATTTTTACTTGCTAATGATCAACTTGTTTGGAGTATTTTGAACGATTCCATTTCATTATCGAATTCCTGGCCAAAAAAGTTTTACATACTCTTTCACTCCGTCATTTCCATTGTAATCTTAGGCTTATTAACAATTCCACAAACTTCATGTGTCGATAACATACAATTTTGTTTCTCTGTGCATACTCTACGCATATGTATATTTTCCTATATTTATTCTGGCAATTATTAACTTAGAAAACACTATATATATATCCTAAAAAAGATTTAGACATCGTTTTTCGTATATTAAGAACACGGAGAGAATTTTCTCTTAAAATTTATCCTGACAGTTTGAAGAACTTTATGAGAGTTTTTGCAACTTTTACCATACATTTCACTAGTAATTATACTTAGTATACATTTTACTAGTAACTTACTAAGTACACAATAAACATTCACTAGTAAAATGTATTGTAAAATTTCAAAAAACTCTCATAAGTCTTCGAAATACCATGTCTTCCCATGATTACATAATTTTCAGGAGAAATTTCAAAAGAAAACTCTCCGTGTACTTATATCAACTATGTACTTAACATCAAGATACTTGTTTAGTTTCAAAATTATTTCTTGAACATAGCACTTTTAAACGAAAAGGAGGCAACGCATGTGCACAGATTATTTCCCAGTAGCCGAATCTCTCGACAGTTACCCAGTCGATTTGTTATACATGTGCATAAATTATTTCCCAGTAGCCGAATCTTTCGCCGGTAACTCAATCGATTTGTTATACATTCGCACTTATTATACATTCGCTTTGTTACCAGCAAGACATCCTGTTTTCGACCTTTCTTGGTGTATTAAGTCCCGTTTGCACCACTCCTACGGCGCACGATCGAAAAGACGTTAAACTCCGTGCGGAAGGTCAAATAAGAAATGAATTTTCACGCGCCGTGGAATGGATAATGAACGATTGCCTCCGCGCGAAAGTACACTTTGCAGAAGTGACTAACCGCAATAACTGCCGCTTCTGTTAGAGAGTCGGTCAGGAGAGCTTTTTATACACGCAAAATGGCACAGCTTTTCCAACGTGGTTCTGGCCGTTCACTTCGTTTGATGGTTTCGATTTGCTTCAAAATATAAAATCGCGATAGCCCTTACCTTCACACCGGAGCCAACGAAATGCCTTATTGTATAAATTGTCATTGTCAAAAGCAATCGCTGATAATGAAAAGTCGGCCGTAAAATTCCACTTGTAGTTTAATCGAATTCTATTCAAAAGAATGAAAATTTATTGTTTGAAATATGAGAAAATTTACAAGAACGTTTTCATGCTGGAAGATATTAAATAAAATGACTTAACTATGTTCACTTTCAATTAGTGTGGAAGATAATTTCTAACTCGGATATTTGAATAAAAACATATCATGATCATGATTTTGTGTGCGTATGCGTGTGCGCGAGCGCGGACCCGTGGGAGCGTGTGTATGTGTGTGTGCACCATTAAAAGATAAATAGATATTGATATTTTGAATGGAATTCATATGATTAAGATCGTAATTATGCGTACACCTGTAGGCATTCACTCTACTAATTTTTATAACTCAGTTGACATTGACTTTGATACTCACAATTCTTGTTAATGTCACAATCTCAATTCCGTATACGTAGATATGTATACTACGTAGACTTCATAAATTAATCGGCAAAATCATCATAAATCGTCAAATATCATCGCTTCTAATCATCATAAATTGAAATGACGCAATAAATCTTTAATTTTCACTCGTATATTACGATTTACCTATTGTTTGCATAAATATTTTAAGACTTTGTAATTTTCTTGTACTTGCGTGTCAATAGGAAATAAAAATGCGCAATTTCTGTTTGTGCAGAAGGAAGCGAATTAATTTATTTACATTATTATTGAACTATAGAACTCTTGACTTATATCACAGCGGCTGCTTCCGGTTCGAAATATGCACAGTACATAAAAAAGAATTAACCGTCATGGGAAAATCGTCAATATTCAGATGAGTATCGACTTATCGTGTTTTTTTAAATCTTTTATATAATCAAGGTTGGATGTATTATATAATCAAGGTATTATAAATATAATCAAGGTTGGATGTATTATATAATAAATTAAATATGGGATCTGAAACTACAGTTGCTCCTGAAACAGATTTTATACTTGCTGTCATTTTCTGCATGAAAGGTAATATGTGTAGCACAGTCTGTTCCCCAGGTAGATTTTCCGATCGATTTATAATCAATTGAATAACACCGTAAACAACAAAAGAGCATAATCAAATTTATTGAAGACAACGACAATTACAGCGATTGGAAATCATAAAAAGAATTATAAAGTGCGCCGCTCTATAAAGACTAGGTATCTGAACTGCATTATTCCTTCTCCGCCGTAATTTTGCAATTTGTGTTTTACTTTCATCATCTCTCTTACCGGCAGAGAAAAAACACAGTTATACCATTTTTCACGACGTGGTGAAATAAAATAAATATTTGCTCAAACTGATATTACATTACGTCAGGCTATATTACGTTTGACTCTTGAAGAGTTTAAGCTTTCCTGTTAATGTCGAAACGAACGATTTGTGGTAATCGATTATCCTGAACGATTTACGAGATCGCCCGAGAGCCGAAATTGTTACGCCGAAGCTAATTAATATGTCTGACCGATCGTTTCCCATTATTTTGCAGCACTTAATGTCCGGATGGCTGTTGGACTACAGCTATAAATGTCAACCGGTCGACTACTCCCACAATCCATCCGCTCTGAGGATGGCGAACCTCTGTTGGTGGTACTTCATCAGCAAATTCACGGAATTCGCTGACACGGTATGCTTTTATAAATTCGCGTACATAATAGCCGGTAAGCGCGATAGTCACGTGCGAAGCATGCGAATTGATCAGTTTCAAAAACAGATTCTATTAAATTACAGACAATTAAACGTGCACAATACATTGCACATTATTAATTAAATCCACTCGTGTCCGATGGAAACGAGCGGAATGTAATAAACGGAATAAAAACGTCTTTCGATTCTACTCGAAATTGCGGCCTCGGAACAGCAAAGAATAAAATGAGATTGTGCTGTCGAGGTGCATCGTCTTCATAGAATGCATATTATTAAAACTTTTGTTCGGTATCGAGACGCGCAGAACTTTCCTTTACATTCCATGAAAGAACTAAAAGCAATTAATCGCCTGTGAAATGACTGTATAATTCGGACTTTTATCCGGTACCTTTCCCGATATAACGAGATTCAGTGATAAATGTCCGCCCGAGGTTCGGAAATGGAACGGAATGTCATCGATACACCATGTTATCTCTATGCAAAATAGCCGAAACCGGTTCCAGTCGCGCGCGAGATATAAAACTGTATTAAATTAAATCTAGTTAAAATAAAAGGGTGAAAAGTGTTCTATTATATCCGCCTGCGCTTTCGAATCATAATTTGGCGCAAAGTCACTTTTATCTCGAAAATTGCGCGCAGTCAACCAAGAAAAGCGAATTGCATATTTCTTGTGTGTCGTGCCGCGATCTGGTGGAACGCTCTGCATTTTCGACGAATGCACGTATACGCATAGTAAACAGAACCGAAAGGTAGAGAAAGAGACAAGTAGGAAACTATTCCCCGCCAGCGATTCCGCGAGAATCGCATAATTATGTACGAACGCCCGTGTATCCCTTCTCGCGACGCAATAACTGAAGCAATCATTTCCATTAGCGTGAGTGAGCACGAGCGGCGGCGCCGAATCGCTCGTGTCGAGCATGCAATCATGTCGGCGGATTAAAAGAGCAGATAAGATTTAATCAATCGATCGCATTCGTTAGATACCCCGGCCGAATAAATCGACAATCCGCAAAGCGGGTGTTTAGCTACTCGTGTAATAAAGCGTAAGAAAGAGAGAGAGAGAGAGAGAGAGAGAAAGGGCTCGGGTGGTCTTTCGACAGCGCGCGTGCGAAAAACCGAGCATAGGAATCATCGCGAAACGGGCTTTCTCGTTATTCGTTGCTCAATTTTCACAGCAATATATGTTGCCACTATCGCGTTCTATCGCGCCTGGATGACGAAAAGCATTGCGTTTCGTTAATGAAAACTTCCAGGAGATACAGTTCGCGAGTCTCGCATTGCTAACAATTAACGTGACAGTGAAATATCACGTACTCCTCTCTTTCAAATTGAACGGTCGATAGAACTCCATTATTTTTTTTAAAGCTTTAATTTAAGAAACCTCGACTGGAACGAGTAAATAAGTTGTTATTTGAAATTAAGCAAATTACGATCAATTGTTTTTAATGGGTTAAGTAAATTTATGCGATTTATCATTAATAAACAATTTACTCGATAGGTAGCGAATTTTAAAGAACAAAAACTCGGAAACCCGGCGGCTAGACCATTTCCTTAATAGAATTTCACAACGACATTACTCATCGAAGTTTCAGGTATTCTTCGTGTTGCGCAAGAAACACAGTCGGGTGACATTTCTGCATTTATATTATCATTATCTGACACCCCTCGAGACGTGAATATATATCAAATTTATTGCAGGCGATCACGGCCACCTGCCTTCTTAATTTAAATTTCTTATTTCGGAATAGTTTATGCGCCTTTATAGAATTCTTTCACTTTACCTGCAGTGTATCGGATAATAGGTCACGACAGGTGAACCAGACGCGATTCTTAATTATAAGTCAATGAATCTAAATTCAGGCTAAGTGACAGGAAGTTACGAGAGCTCGTAAAATTTCACAACGAACATTACTCATCGAAATTTCAGATATTCTTCGTGTTGCGCAAGAAAGACAGCCAGGTGACATTTCTGCATTTATATCATCATTCCCTGACACCCCTCGAGACGTGGATATGCGTCAAATTTATTGCGGGCGGTCATGGCACTCTGGGCAATCTTATAAACAACGGGGTGCACGTGGTCATGTACGCGTATTATATGTTAGCGGCCATGGGACCGGAATTTCAGAAGTATTTATGGTGGAAGAAGCATCTGACTACTGTACAACTGGTGAGTATACAGTCGTGTCGCGTCTCTTCTTCAAACTCGCACAAATCACTCGCACGTCAAGAATTTGAAATGGAAGACTGATAAAAGGAGAACTGGCAAGAGTCGGAATTAAGACGAACGACAGTGTACGCAATTTTTAAATGGTACGTTTACGTCAAATTACAAAAAGTATCTCTTCTCAGACCGATAGCTCTCGTCGGTTCAGGAGCGCGAACTAATTGTAAGAATTGCGGGGAATTGAAGTTAATTGACAATACATGAGAAACTTTTAAACGGCGCATTCAGATCGAAACCGCAAAATATAACAGAAGTGCCCGGACTCTTTTCTTATACGTAGATAATTATAAGACAATTTTAAGCGCGATTTAACATGGAAAATGATAGAAATAAGAGTCCGCGCCGAATTATATAGATCAATTTAAGGCGGATTATACGTTTGACGTAAAGGAAACTGGAGGAAAATTACTATCTTTTAGAAAAGGAATTCTTTTCTCATTACGCAGCGTATAATTTAAGCCGGCCCGGTATACGTCGGCTCGTAAACACCTGGGTGGTGCGCAATAATGCCGGACCAAACTCCGGGCGGATATAACGCAAAAATGCGACACGTGACCCAATGTTTCCGAATCGAGAGCGTGCGGTAGTAACGCGAGCGAGATTTTTTTTCCCCCCCGCGCACGTATCAAAACCGATTCGCGATACCTTCTTCTTGCACAACGCGTCGGGTTTCGCGCCGAGCCGATAATAACCCGCGTTGTTGAAAGTGAATGGATAGGCACTACTGACCCACTCAGACCGCTTGAAAGATTTAAAGGGTGCACATCGGCAATACGTGAAATATGCTAATCGAGGCGTGTAGTGTGTTTGCTGTCCTCCTACGAATCTACTTCCCAACGCAATGTACGCCTTCGTTTACCGCAACAGCCTTTTCAGATGAGAATCAAGCATTGTGTACCAATTACGATGACGCAAATGGCTTTACCTCGTATTTCGGGGACGGTATATTGTCAAAGAAACGACGCGAGGTAGAAAATGTCGGTAATTGGGGGACAAATTCTCATAATTAGAGATCAATTCACGCTCGTCACACGAAAGTCTGCGGAACGTATTCCGTCGTCGGTTTTTCTCTTGCGTGCCACTTTACAGGTCGAGAGCAGTTTAGGATCCAAAATGGATCTCGCTACGGGTTTCTTGCAACGATGACCATAATGACTTTAAATCAACCGTTTTAAGCGAGTGGGGAAAAACTGCAGCGACTGTTGCCACGAACTTTGTAACTTATGAAATTGTATGCACGAAACTTGTAACGAAACACGTTGCGTATACGCATGAAACACATTGCACGAGGGGATAATGCGTTTCGCGTTTATAGCTTCTAAACGTTGTTTACACCTTTAGTAGAAAGTATTGCATCCCGATATGCACAGAAAAGAAATAAGATTACCAAAGTTATTTTGTCATTCCGCGTGCTGTTAAATTTTTTACTTGGCATAATCATTTATAAAAGTATTTATTTATCATTTCTTTTCAATTTCAAGCTTACGTGTTTGAATATACACACGAATTTTTATCTGAAACTTGTTTTCCCCAATTAAATGCAACATGTTAACACGCTTTGTAACATATCATCCAATTGATAGGAGCTTTTGTTATATCGGGCGTGAGATTGGGATGAAATATTTTGCAAAGTTGAAGCTCGAGGGTCGATACGCATAAATGAACGACCAAAGACCAACTAAAGTTACGATAATATAATAGCAGAAAATATTTCGCAAGCACATCCCGCGCGCTGCGAGGCGTCGGGGGAAAAACCGGCGGGTGTCGGCTCTTGTTATCGGCGAAGTGCGGAGCGTGCCCCGTGCCAGTGCCACTAATCGGAGCACCGCTTAAAATCGCCTTGGTCGCCGCTGGGAAAGAGGGTACGTTCGAAAAACCGGCGACGCGGTCGGCCCGGATACGCGCGAATTGCGCGAACTCGCGGATTCTGGGCCATCGGCGATTGGTGTCCGTTAGATCGGTCAATCCCGGTCTCTACCCAGGCAAAATTTCATGCCAAGCGTACGTAGGTAGGGGTGAGGGAAAGTGAAAAGTACAAGGCGCGTTGGGCAATTCGACTTGACTAGACCTCGCTTTAGCCGGCCGCCGAACTCGGCCAACCACGTTGGCAGTGGCGCAACAATTTGGCATTCCGATATGCCATACGGCACCTGTGTACCACCACCATCGCTATCATCGCGACCACCATTGCCACCACCAACACCATCGTCAACATCATCGCCGCGGCCCGCCGTCGTCCTGATCGCCGCCGCGACCACCGCCGCGACCACCGTCACGCCGCCGCCGTCATCGTCGTCGTTGCAACCGGCGTCGCGAGCTACCACGAACCGGCCGCATACCTATGAAGCCTCACCTATATGCCTCAACCTATCCCAGTTTATCTCGCAAGACCATCGATTCGCTACATACCGGCGCATATGTCCGGCCGAGATACAGGTGTACCAGCGGACTCGCTTTGTGTCCACTCGCGACGCGTTCCCTCGAGGGGTACCGTCGCAAGACGAGAACGCGCAGATAGGGATACCTGCGAGCGGCATTCAGGAAAAAAAGTTTCTTCGATGATGAAAGCGCACACTTTGAAACGAATGAGAGATTTGTAGATACACGGCCGTTTAATCTTTCAACGTATCGCGATTGCGGCATCGGCTACTGCGCGCGCAAAGGACTTAAGAGATAGCCGATTGTTTAAATGGATAATGATCGGAAATTCATAGTTTGGCTTGAAATTTAATTTGGCGTAACGAAATGAAACGGCGGGTTCAAAGAGTGTGGGAACGTGGTAGTCCGATCACTTTTCAATAAGAGTCTCGGCGCGAGCACTTCGAACTCTTAATCAATTTGTCACGCGCGAGGATGGCGATTGGATTACATTGACAAAAAATATTTTTAGGGCTTACTTAATCGTGATGCGGGGATGCATTGGCATTTGAATTGCTGAAAGCAAAGAGAATAAAATTCTAATAAACTATCCAGTCCCCGGGAAATTCCACACACTCGCTGCAATACGTCAATCACGAAATTAGTCACGACGTATTGTACAGGTTGCAGAAAATGATACCGGCAACAATCAATCAAACGATTTCGTGGGTTAATTAAGATTTAATGATTAGCTAACTGGCATATTAGATTATTACGACAAAAAATATTTCTTTCGCGGTTTTTTTCCGATAAATTTCATAATGGCATCTTTGATATTTATAAGTAAGCAAACAGCTTTAGCGAATTACCGGGTCTCTAAAAAATTCTTGTTCTAAATCCCGTAATAGATACGTGAATGTAAAACGACATGAAAATAGTTTTACTCGCTCGCTCGCTTTGATATTTGATACCGCGTTTTTATTTTAATTTTGCGTCTTGTTAAATCCAATTTAACTGAATTTAATGTAATTAACGGTATTTATTTAAAAAGACAGTATAAAGAGAGAGAATAAAAAGTGTTAAGAATTGTGTAAAATTTACAATATAGATTCTTTATGTCAGCAATGTGAATATTTTTAGATTTTTTTCATCAGTTATTAATTTCTAAAAACATTTATAAGTGTTTCCGTGTTTCCACTTTTATGTCGCAGGAAAAGTTTTATCGCGCAATTCTGTGTATCTACATAAATTTATTCAGTTCTTAATTGATATGCGGCAAGTCTTCCACGGAAGAATCCGTCAAAAAATCTCGAACTTTGTTATGAATGTTCTCAGGAACTAACCGGCGAAAATTTCTAAAAACAATGCATAACACTGACATTTTTTAAAGCACTTGCGTTTTAAACTTTATGCAATCCTTAATTCATTTCTGATTCTCCTTGCGATTTTCGTAACGATATCTCGAGACACCTGGGATAATCCCATCAGAGACAGCGCGTTCGTTCGCGAAACGCAATTATTCGTAGAACACAGCCATTCGCTCACAAATCCCGTTTTATGTGCCGCGAAACAGGATTGACGTAGGATTGGACGCGACACCGAATCGGTGACAAAGTAGTGCGATCGTTTTTGCCAAGAAATTTACGGCGAATTATTCGCACGCCGGAAACCCTCGGCCATCGCACGCCTCTACGTACTTTCTGTAAGTCGGTCAACGATGTTTGACATTTATGCGTAACGACTCACCCCGATGGATAAGAATCTCTTTTCTTTCGCACATTTTATATCGACCTTAGAAGACAATTAAGAAATGCCAGTGGCAAAGTAAACCTTACACAAAAGAAGTACCGACAGCACTCGCACGCCACCAATATTGTCCCATTCACGGGCTGGCCTCTCGATCGTCGTACGCTGAGAGAGAACGACATGCGCTGGGTATATTAGATATACGGATAGTTATTGCTACATACTGCATTGCGTTCTTTCTTCGAATCGCTTAATGAATTCGGTTGCAATACAGAGTTTATCGAGTCAACTGAGCAATACGCAACGCACGGCTGTGCAGGAATTGAGAAAAACATAATGCGCGCGCGTGGTGTAAAATACAACGGGGTCGGCCCCGTGAAGTGTTTATTTAAGAAAAAAGGAAGGCTTAAATTAATTATACAAGTTACAATATCCGTATGAATCGTGACAATAAAATTTTTATACATAAATTGCAAGATACACGCTCCTGCGGTCCCGCGCTTTCACGCGGAGAGCATTTTTTTTCGTAGAAATTTATCCTGAATATTGTGTAATCGTGGGACAACGTGGCATTTCGAAGAATTCTATAAGAGCTTTTTGAAATTTTATCACACGTTTTACCAGCAGAATGTGCGTTAAAATTTCACAAAACTCACGATTACGTGGCTTCCAGGGTAAATTTTAAAAGAAAATTCTTCCCCCGTGCAGAATTGAATGTATATATATTTTTTTTTTAGCTATCGACAGTTTTACTCACCGCTCATAGATTCTAGTGTCCGTATCGCTAAATCTGTTGATTTGTTGAATCGATTTTGCAGGTGCAATTCTTCCTGGTGTTCGTGCATAGCGCGCAGGCCCTCGTCTTCGATTGCGGCTACCCAAAACTGGTCGCGGCCCTCCTTCTACTTCACTCGACCATCTTCTTCGTGCTCTTCTCCGACTTTTACAGGTCCGCTTACCGCAAAGGAAAGTCCACGAAGGAACTCAAGGCTGAATAGAACACACGAGGGACATACGAAAGGGAAAATCTTCGTTCTAACGACGAACGAAATGCGCAATACAACACGTACACACATATCGCGTCGAAATGTAGCTCCTTTCTATACCGGTGAACTTTTACGTCGTTGATGTATCGATAAATGAGGGACCCCTTGAACGGTTCATATATTCGAAAGTATCAATCGTCAGTAAGGTGCGGATAAATAAATGCAAATGCGCGCGTCCTAATACAGAAAAACGAAATTTCTATTGTTAGATTCTGGAAACAAAACGGAATAATTCAAATGTCGACAAAAAGGCAACTACGGCGCCGAGCGAAAACTGCGCCGGCAGCGATTTATGATTCTTATATATAAATTAACAATTATAAAGACTATCGCAAATAGTGCGAGAAGAAATCTCAGTAAGGAAAACTGACAAATGGAGAAGGAGGGTCAGTCGGTTAACGGGTCATAACGGGTTAATGCCATTGTATCTCTTATCAGTTTAGCAAGGCGATATAGCGAAAAGTCCGCGATGGCACAGGGATCGTCCATTAGAAATTCCTTTACGTCAGGCAGCGATCAAATGTGGCTGTTTAGTCGCTTTTACAGAGATAAGTTATATTAACTCTCGATGCATAAACGTCGCGTCGAAATGTCTTCCTGATAGATAATCGAGGTCAAACGTTTCACTGGTGCGGAGCGTAGAGATTGCTTCCGTACGGAAGAGGATTTTTATTCGTTGTACTCTGCCCGGGCGTGTATCTTCGGGATATCTCGGGTCTCGCGTGCAGGACATCTCGGATCTTGGGTTAACTTCAACAGCCTTAAATGTCACTTCGTACATTTTGATCGGCCCCCGTCGCTTAATTAAAATCATTCTTTATGAAGTTAAGAAACGAGGAATAAGTTAAGTAAAATAAATGGCAAGTATTATTTGTAAAGCCTGGAATTTCGAGGCTGCAATAAGCGCGGGGAGGAACGCACGGACGAAACGAAGTAGCAATAAAACGTACATGATAATAATTAGTAAATTCCATCGTTTTAGACACGTAACACAAAAGATGGTGTATACGACTTGAAAATTACGTTGATTACAATTATAAAAATATTCCGTCGTATTAGACTAATTGATCTTGAAAATTATACAATTGTGTGTGATATTCGTAATATTCAGAATCAACGTGAGGTATCGGGATACAAGTTTGAAGACCTTTTCACACGCATGATATTGCTTTGCGCAATTTCTAAATAATTTCTGCCGCTAGTTAACTAGTGTGAGGGCCGATTTTTCCAACCTCTTGGTAAACTAATAGTTAAATTATATGTCTATCTTTTTTCAAAGGAAAAACAAAGACACACACATGATTTAACTATTAGTTAATTTACCTAGAGATTGGAACAACCTGCCCTAAAACGAGAAAATACATATCTGACGAGTTTATCTTTGCAATGGCTGCGTTCGACAGGAAAAGCTGCTTTGCAACTGTTGTAAAATTCGTGAATCTGATTGGTGTGTTCTCTCAATCTTGTGTGAATTTAAGAGCATACGCCAATCAGATTCATGAATTTTACAAACAGTTGCAAAGCAGCTTTTTCTGTCGAACGTAGCCGTTATATTTAAAACAATCGAGAAGCACTGCTTTTCGATTCGAGAAACGGAACAATCGGGAAATATACCTATATGCTCGACGAAGAACCGAGGAGACTGCCGCATAAACCGCAGTGCGGTACGAATTACGACAGGCTCCTGCCATTAAATAAATTTGTGTCGAGAAACGTAGTTAGAAATGTGCCAACGAATTCACATATCCATGACGTGTTATGATAAAGAAAATTCCGTTTTCCAAAAAAACAAAACTTGCTGGCAAGTTACTACGAACGAACGAAGCTTACGACTCGTCGAAATGATGCACTAATAAAAATACGGAGATCTTGAATTACTTCAATATATTTTATTGCTTCGATTTGTCTTAAGAAACTCACCATCCTGTGAGGCACAGAGAGGCGATATATTATATATATATACATATAAAAGTGTATCGTTTGATTTTTAACGGAGAGAAAAGTCACGCGAGACCACGCTGATGTTTCACAACTTATTCTACGTCCACGGGATTACATAGCGAGACGCGAGATGACGAATATCGCGAGGCGACAGAACCGGCGCGGACACACGGTCCGACGCCGTCGGAGAGGACCCGCGGAGTTGCACGTCCGCGCGGCGCTTCCCGTTTTATCGATTCCCTCGATGAGGCTGCGCAGCCACGAGGAGCGCAAGAGGCGATACCGCGAACGCCGCGAACAATGCCGGGCGACGGCCGAGGGGCGTTTGCGACGACACTCGGGGTTTAACAGTTGTACGATAGAATGATAAGAGAGAGAAAGTTATCAAATCTCTCGACGTGCGAGACAATAATCTCAGGGTTACGGTTCTCGCGTACGCCGGTCGCGCATGCACTACCTTGTACATATTGCATCTCCCTTTTTTTTTGTAACGAAGAATGAAATATTAATTAAAATATTAACACTGAACGTAAATTGTTTCGAGTCTGCGACTAAATTAATTATTTAATCGACTCGCGAAAGGGAGACCGTTATCTAAGTATAATTGGACACAAGTTTCCGAGATCGAATCTACTTGTCCATATAGGTGAATAAATTATTAAAAATGTACTTTAAATAAAACATATAATAAGTCTCTCCCCCTCTCTCCCTCTCTCTCAGATTTTCTAAACAGAGTGCGAAATAAGTTCCAGCATCTTGTTAGCATGGCATTGTCAGCATGGAACTCGTGTCGATCTAACGTAACTTGTCAAGGATCATCATTGCGTTTGTCTATTTCACAAAGTGGAAAATTTATTGTTAAATACATTTTATTGATATAGCTTATGTACAGTGGCGGGGCACAATCCCGCTTTTATATAAGTGCAGCCTAAGTTACCGACGACGATGAACAAGATTTATCAAAATCCTATGAACTTTCACGCTGTCGCCGCCTGCTGTATCCTCTTTTGTCTTTCGAGGAGGCGACGTTCCCTTTCGTATTCCTTCAATCTCATAGTGTAACTGCAACAAATACAATATTCTTACCAATGTGTACCTGGAAAATTTATGCACGGTATTTCAAGCAACATTGGGATATACTTGTATTTTTATATTTATGGCACATATACTAGAAGCTACAACTGTCGTAAGAGGATTAGAGCATATGCGAATGGTCGGGCGCCAACAAAATTTACCGCTACGAAGCCTACTAGAAGAGGTGACAAAGTTAAACATAAGACGAAGGCTGATATTACATTTGTCGCACGACAAATTTTTTAAGTGTGTCGACTAGCTACAAGCTAGAAAATTTCTAAACACTCGAGAACTCTTCTATCCCGCAGTGAATCAACGCGCTCGAAAAATTTGTTGCACGACAAATGTGATACCAGCCTAAAACACAGAAACACAGAATTAATAAAACTTACTCTTCAACGTGGCACCGGTTATATTCGTGTCTTTCGTGCGCACACTTTATCATGAAGGGATAATGGCGCCTCTTACACTCGTGCAGGTCCATGTACTTGTGGGCGCAATAATCGCGTCTGTCCAGGGGGATCTTAAAAGCCATCATATCTTCCTCCGAATATGGTATCACTGTAAATTCGGCAGACAATCAATTGACATCTAGCTAAACTTACTACTTGGTAAACTTACTTAATAAAGTTTGAATCGCAAACGCTACTGCTGTCTTGGCGCAAACAGCGTTGACATTCGAAACGTGGCGTGCCACGATTTTCCAAATTACGTTCGGTGATAAAACGACAAAACCTTGCACTTGTAAAACAATCAACGTGAACAATTATCTCCGCGAAATTAAGCGAATATAATTACACGCAGCATAAAAGTAACAACTTGCCGACATGATCTGACAATAGGTTCGACTCAACATTTACAATCTGCCGGTCGTATTCTACTATCAGATTCCGTCACGGTTCCTGCTGGCAGTCCGCCAACGAAATTTCTAGCAGACACTCAGCAACAAACAGTCGGTTTCCGAATAGATTTAACTGGCTGCTCTAATTGCGGATGTAAACGCGGAGCAGATTGCCATAACACGGGTATAAATTGGGACGGTCAGTAAAATTGTTATCTGTTACTGGCAACTTAAGAGATTTGCCTCGGTGGTCGAATTGTCGAGACGCCCGCTTAGAGTGCAGGGAAGTCCAGGTTCAAGCACTGGCCGAGGTGATATTTTTTCGCAATAAATCGTCCCTAATTAAAATCGCCAGTTGTGTCAGCCAGTTATCAATTTTCACTCTCCACAATTATGCTGTCCGGTCTCGACGGGTAGGCCTAGCGGGGTGACAAGAAACAGCGAACGTCCCGTGTCCAGACGATCAGTCGCAGACGCACACTCGGCTGATAGCGAGATACTGCGCGGCGAAGGCCAAGTACTAGGTTAGACTCGAGCATACTTGCCCCTAGGTTTTCGACCGTTCGGAAATCCGAACATCGGGTCGAACGTCGGTTTGCCGTCGGGCACGGGCATCGTGTCCGGATGCGTTATATAGGTAGCGATCCAATTGCCCATTGTCTCCCTCAAGTCGTGTCCAGCGGGGCGAGCAGCCGAGAGAGACCCGTGAGCGCACCGTCGCGTCGCGCTGACATCTATCCTATCCATCCACTGACCCAGCTTACGTAACGCGCGCCCCTCAGCCAATTGCACCGCACCACTTTGGAACATTGTTTATTACATAATTTTGTTTTTGTTCATCACATAAATTGACGATTGTTCGTTATGTATTGCAATTTGTGGTTGTTCGTTGTATAAACCACGGTGGTCGAACTGGTGAGAGGTCCAGGTTCAAGCCCTGGCTGAGGTAAATTCTTCGCGATAAATTTAAAAAATTATCTTCGATCCGGCGACGGCTCATATTGCCCATCATTTTCTCTTCCTTTGTTCCTCTCTATTTTTCATTTTAATTAGTTAAAAAATTAAAATCATTTAAACACCAACACATCCTGTCTTGGCTCTTATATCCTGTATTATTTGGTATTCATGATTTCACGTTCGGAGCCTTACAAATTTTATTTGTTCATTATATAAATCGTTAAATCAGTGGCGCCAACAATATACGAAAATATCTGGCGATTGTACACCGACCGGTAATAAATCGTTTCGCGTGAAGGAAATTGTCTCCCCACTCGTTGAGAATTCGTCGATCGGCTAGAGTGGAGAAACAAGTCACTTCCAAAATGATGAAATTAAAAGTCTTGGCGCAAGCTGGACACATTACGAATACACTCGTCCCTCGACCCGCGAATTTACGGGCATGTTTAGGGACGCGAAGGGAGATTCAGTGACAAGACGAGTCGCTTGAAGAAATTCTTTATTGACTCTGCTGAAATAAACACACAGATATATTAAAATAGCGTTCAGTGTAACAGGTGATTACGAAAATCGCTTCCAGGCTAATTTCCACATTTTATTTTTACAAAAAAGCAAATTCCGCGTTACTCCAAAAGAGTACCACTGTAGTAGTAAATCCGTGTAGTATACAATTTCTTATCAGCATAATATATGCACTGTTATCACGCCTCTACTCCGTCAAAACTGCATACTTACACTGGGAAGTTTGTTTTGTACTTAAATTAATAATCTCAGCAATTTAATCATCATCCTCTTCCATAGGCTCCGCGGCTCCGCCACCTACATGTAGCACACAATACAATATTAAACAACAGAATCCATAGTGGCGGTTCTCGTTTCTAGATCTGCGAGCGTGTCTAAGGCTGCGGTCAAACTGCCGCTACCAAGTGCTTAGAGATATTTTTCTTTCCCTTTTTATCAATAAAGGTACAAGGAGGAGAGGAACGCTGCGAAGTACTTGCAGCGGCAGCTTGGCCGCAGCCTACAATGTTAAATATCGCGTGTATGAAAGTACAGAACGCGTGTGAGCTCACGCACCATTTTGCAATCGTTCCTCGCCAGGTATATGGCCCGCCTGCAGCAATTTACTGAGCCTCTGTACCTCCTCCAGGGAAGACGCGTTCGTAATGGCTTCTCGAATCTTGTTACGCTCTTCGGGAGTGGTCAGAGGCTTGTCCGCGGACGTACCCGCCGTTTGCGCCTTCGCCTTCTTGGCTATCTCGCGCGCCATCTCCTTGCCGCGCTTGCTCCTGAAGTACTCGGTCGCCGTCTCGCGTTCCGCCTGCTTGATCTTTCGGAAGTCCAGCAGCCTGAGCTGGGGAAATCTGTAGACGACGTACTGTCTGTACTGCGGCTTAGCGGACACCGGGTTTTGAAGCAGGCACAAGTTCGTAAGATTCTTCAGCTGCACCAGAGGCTCCAGGTCGCCCAGCTCCTGTATCATGTTGCCGGTCAACATGAGCGTACTCAAGTTCGGTATGCAATGCTCCAATCCCTCGCCGATCCTGACGATGCGATTGTTATTGAAAAACAGGGTCTTTATCCTCTTCAGAAGCGGGAAACCGTCCAGTTTGCGTATGTCGTTATCGGAAAAGTCTATCGTGTCGAATTGATCCTACAGAAAAATGTAGTGTAATGTAGTGAACAGCTGTGAACTTCGTTATAAGGATCGTCTACAATAGATGAAGTAAGCCTGGCGTAAGAAGTAAGGGTAGGAGTAAAGAAATTAATTATTTCCATAGTATCGCGTGCCGTTGGCTTTACTGCTTACAGTGCTTACTTCCAACGTAGACGGTCCTACAGACTCACGACCAGACGCGGATCGTCGTTTCTCGTGAAGCATGTACCTACCAAAGTCGCGCCCAGATTCTCGATGGTTGGTATCTTGTATCCTGCAAGCATACCAGCGAGATAGAAATGATAAAACGAGCTTGATACACGAGACAACAAATATGACAGGTTTCATCGCGCGATCTCGCACAAACCTCGCAGATCTAACTCGCGATCCCGCACGGGATTGATGTACTGCATCGACTGCTCTATAAGCTCGGGCGTCAGTTTCACCATCGTGAGCGAATTACCAGGCTCCTCGCTGCTTCTGACAACGGTCCTCTCTCGAGACACCTCACGCCGACCGCGCTTTTTTTCTCTTTTTCGTTTTCCCTTCTACGGCGACACCGTCAACTGTTAGGTTATTTAGCGTACGCGAACGTCCGCGCCGAGAAAACGAGGTTAGGACACCGACGGGGGTAACTGGCGCCGCCAACAGTAGAAGCGAGGAAACCGCTCGCGAAACGTTGATCGATATCAAGTAGTTCTGCTTATCGACCGTTTTGAGTATGTGCGCGCTCGTCGGAAAACTGGATCGCTGCCACCGCGGTTGTCGTTAAAAACAGGACTACGACAGATATTTCAGTATATTTCTTTTTCTTCCCCCATCCAATTTCTGGTCTAAAAACATATTCTTCAAAGTTCAAAAAGAATTTGAAATACTAGATAATAGTATCTCTAGAGAGATAATAATATCTCAGAAAGTATTAGGCAAATCAAAAAATGTTTCGGGCAAAAGTGGTTCATATTAATTAGTAGAATAAGCTAGTATAATAAACAATAGGGGGTTCCGCTTAAAAATTTGAAGGTGACCTTCACGTGACCTTCAAGCAACTATTCAAGGTCAAATTAATGACGCCATCTTATTTCCCCCTTCGAACCAAACAACTTTGTTTAAAACGTTTTTCCGTATCTTTCATATTTTTGGAGATATTTGCGTGGATCATTTAAAATGAGACACCCCGTATATACATTAAATGTGTAAATTATGTACACGTGTATGCATCTGATTTTCAATGTATGCACATTATTCAAATAACATTTGCATATGTATTACATATGTATTAGATGTGTGGTAGATATCCCGCGATAAATGACTTGTCGATCGACATCGAAACAATGTCGAATTGACGTCAATATGACGGGTTCAATATCGATATAATGTCGTTTCAACGACAATCAATGAGTCGTTTCTGATTGGGTATGCTGTAATACGCATGTGCACTAGAAAACACCGATGCCTTCCCGGGTGAATTTGTGCACATATCAACACATTTTAAGCATAGATATATGTATATACATAAATGTATACATATACAACATACTCTCTAAAAGTCAATCGGTACGTTATCATTAAAAAGTATAGCACTGAATTCAGTGAATCAGCGAATATTCACTATCATCACATAATAAACCACTGCTTGACTTTTAGAGAGTTCATACAATATATTAAAGTGTTTGGTAGGGAAGATAAAGTATTAAAAAAAGGAATTTTTCAATTTTTTTAAAATGAAACTTAATAAAATAAGAAAAATTATCCATATATAACAATTCATATATATATGTATTTAAATATAATAATTTTATCTAAAATATCCCCTAATCTATTACTCTTCTTAACAGAGATTATACAACAGAAAAAATTTATCAAGGAAACATATACATATAGACACTGTGTATATGTATAATTAAATATGAAAAATATTACTCCTAGTTTACTTGATAAATTAATCGTCGATTAATTCAATTGGTATTATTTAAAGTAAAATCTAAATTAACTGTTTCTGATACAATTTTTTATTCCACTTCTATTCCAAGAATAGAAGAAGAAAATGTTAATAACTCTCTATCTTCGCAGATGAACTAGTATAAATACATTATACCATAAGTAACTGTTTAGTGAACCAAATAGATATTACTGAATAAATTTATAGTCACCGATTATTTATGAGTAATGCGCAAGAAAGAAGACTGAATAGTCTAATGCAAAAATTGAACGCAATTGTTCGTCTCATCAATTGTACCATCAATTCAGTATTCATATCAAAACTCCCAACGAACAAAATTATCCACGCGATTATTACAATCTTTAACATTTATCGAATTTGTCAAAATATATGTGAATATATTTCCGCGATGACAGGCACGAGACAAAAAAGCAATGTAGTATATTTTCTTTTTATCATTAATTTGTTTACACACACGATAGTTTCTTTGCTCCATTTGCTTTGATAAAAACGAGGCAACAAAAACGTCAATAACTTGGTTAATGTTGGTGTAATGATTTGCATATAATGATATGATACATAATATCTAGTGGTGTAACAAATGTGTTCTATCATAAAACATAATAACTTTTTATCTGGCATATATAAGAAAATATCAAATGTAAAAATATATATTAAATTTATACTAGATTTGTATTATTTTTTAATTTGCACGATATTTAAAAGAAAAGATCTGTTGTACATTGTGTAACATTTGTATTATTTTTTTATTCTACACGATATTTGGAAAAAAGAAGATATCTAGACAAGTTCACAGGCTGTATAATTTTGCTTTTAGTTGTTCATAGCGTAATTCAATATAGTTTCAACACCTCAGATTTTTTGTTAGTTTTACAAATGCGTTGTATCTAGTCCATGAAAAGGCAATCTCTTGAAATATCTCACAAAGATTGTGGTAACTATTAAATACGCAAATGGTTGTAAATGTGGTAAATATTAAATAAGCCAGATAGAAACGGCAGTAAACAAAATCCGGTTCTCGATTAAATGATTTCACATACGTGCATACTAAGTATTATAAATGCTTGGTGATCACTAAATACGCAGCTTATATGAACCATACAGTGTTTAATCATCTATTGACGTCAGTATCGGTGAGTTGACGCCAGTTAAATAATTGATAATAATTAGGGAAAAATGTTTTAAGTAGATATTATGTTACATAAAATCAAGAAGATTATACGGATCTTTTTGCAAAGGATTAATCGCCGACAGAGATTAATGAACGTGTCAATAGCATAAATTACGTTGTATTATTTAAATGTAAATTTAACCAAAGGATAAAATTTATGAGAATATTTCAATTGTGCTTCTTCACAATGTTTATCAAATAAAAACGCAGAAAGCTGTGTAAAAATCGTCGAGTTACGAACAAACTTCAAATTTTAAGGAATTATTTCAATTTGTTGTAAAGGAATTTTTATAACGTATTGTAAATTATAATACTAATTCTCTTGCAACTGTTGCGTGAATAATAAGAAATCTTTTTATTATTTTCCGATGTTTTGCATTTCCTTCGAATTTCCAGATTTAGCGTGTTGTTCAGATATATTTCATAAGCATACAGCTATTGTAACACAAGTTTCTACATTTTTGAATTTAAGATTCCCGACGTAAAAGAAACAAAAAATATTAAAGTTTTCATGAGAACAAAACTATATAAATATTCTACAAATGCAATCATATATTATCATACTTTCACAGGAATTTTAATTTAATTTGTATTTTATTTAGTAAAATAAGTAATGTAAAAACTTGTGCAAGATGTGATGACGTCCAAGTAACAAGGTCCTCTTTACGGAAAATTACATTATAATAGTTTTCTCTCTCAATGCAGAATTGCAGACGTACAATACTCAGAAACATTTAATAGTATTCAATTGCCGGAACAAATTATTTCCGTTTATTTATAATTTGTTCCATTATAATAAAGGAAATTAATACGACTGAACTGATACTGAACATAAATTCATAAGTTTATATGAATGCGACATAGCAATTTTTAAACTGAGGCTATAGTTTTTATTCCAGCTGCCTACAAGCGGAAATTGAAGATAATAAATTAGAAAAATTACTAATATCATTACGTACAATTTCCAGTAAGCAGCCATTTGTCAATTGCTCTTCCACGTAAATCTTTTCTTAATTTAACAGCATCAATTGTTCTTTCTACAATTTACTAACAAAAATATACATATATATAATTTACATGTAAAATGTTTTGTTTTACAATTACAAATTTTATTAGATAGATCCAACGTAACAGAATCTTTTCCACTGTAAAATTTTTAAAAGTCACTAATTTTTATAAACTGTTTTTAAGTGTTAAAGAAGTTTTTAACGACTTTCGCATGCTAAAACCCAAAGTAAAGGTAAAAATAAAAATAAAAGTTATGCTTTTAATGCGAAGTGTGTCACTATAATGTGTCATTTGGGCTACAAATATATTTCGTCGAAGTTTTATTGTAGACAGACAGACAGAGGCCTTGGGCCAGTAAAATGGTAGCAGAAAAAATGTCTACGTGGGAATTCTTGCCTCAATCTTCATAAATCGATTCCTGCGGTTGCGTAGCACGGCCATTAGGATGACCATTAACTGAATTCTCAAGTGTCGTTAAAATAACTTCATATTTGCCCCATGCTTTTGCCTAGATAATCATTAGCAAATAAGATGAGGATAACGTTTTGAGATGTATTAATGCACGTAGTTATTAAGATACGGAAGTTTATTCATTTTCGCACAAGAGACGAGTCTTCCCAGACTAGTTGCATTGAGGTGTGTTGTAGCGATCTGCGTACTATTGTTTTCGCATTCATCCTTGCTTAACATAAACGACACTTTTCTTCTAGTCTATCATTAGCGCTGTCAAAAAAACAATGCACCGAGAGAGACAACTTGTCTCGGTGAAATCTCACGGAATCTCGCGCAATCTTTAAGAAGATTAGTTCAGAGCATAAAGAAACTTTGTTGATGTACGTTAGTCGCAAAAAATGTATATTTATATATGCATACAGAAATCTTTCGAAGCTGAAAGGAAACGTGCAAAGAAATCTAAGAATATCCGAGAGAGAGAGAGAGAGAGAGAGAGAGAGATATGCCACAATATGTCACGTTTGTTTTTTACATCGTTGAATCTCATTACGGTTACTTGATATGCTATATGCTGCGAGAAATTACGTGCAAAGTTTAAAACAAAACAAAACTTTGGGAAAAGTAATACTCCGCGTTACGTAAACAGGCAATGCACGTTTAAACGCTAACCTGTCGGACAATGAACGCCATCGGCCACATGTGATTCACTCTCGTGTGTAATTCCGCGTATCTTACATCATCAGACTAGTCTCAGGAATGTATAATTATTAATTGGAATTTCTTATTTCCTAAATAAGATTATTTTATATAAGATATAAATAAGATCCATAATTAAAACATTTCTATGCGAGAATGAGATGTTAATGAGTTGTATTTCCTTGACATTAAAAAATTACTTCCTTGCACCATAAATGTATCGACATTCGAAGTTTAAAAATAACACGAATACGGAACAATCATCTAAACAATTTAACCCTGAAAGATTTCCATATTTTGCTAGTTTATTATAATATGCAACGACATTCCTGACAGTTTAAAA